ACCAAAACAGGTCACTAGGTAATCATTAGACAGCTAAGATCCTATAAAGACAAACAAGCAGGACAGTTAGGTCCATGTATTGCTGTATTGAGGGACTCCAACTGAGTTATTCATGTTTAAATTCACCCAATAGCATCTTTTACAAATTACATTATTACCCTTTGATAATGAATTGCCACAAGCATTTCTTATATGATATGGCAAACAACTACAGGTACCTTGGTTATGTGGAGACTTAAGTGACTCTAGTTACAAATTTAGGAAGCATAAAATGGCAAATAAAACACAACATTTATTGTCACTTTGTCATTTTTTTCCACTGTTACACAAAAATAGATGTTTGTCATGCAACAGTACAAGTAAGTAAATTACATGGGGATGTAGGTATTCCCTGTTCATGAACAAACATTGTGAACAGCTACAACATCATTTCCTGATCAATCCGAATTTGAGGATAGCTAGTTTCAGAACAACTCAAAACTACTGGTGAAAATGACTTAACACTGTGGTTTCGTGAGTGCATGTTCCCTGAATATTCTCTTTTAATAGTCAATGCCAGTGAAAGTACAGTATGAAAGTTAAAAAATGGTCATACCTGCACATGAACTTCTGCAATTCACACATCAAGTTAAATCTTAATTGTTAATTAAACCTTGAAGGACTAGGGTTCTACATGTAGAAATTTCAATGGGCACAACAATAAATGTCACCAATAACATGTGGCTGAAATACTTCTTAAAAAAATCAATGTAACAACAACAAATGCCATTGACGTTTCAGTGGGAAAATATTCCTCTGAAAAGTGAGGAATTGAACTCTAACATTTACATGCTAACTACAATGTCATGACTGAATAAACCGGTGGATATGAATTACACGCAGTTAAAGGATTTCTTTGTAGAACTAATGACAGCATTCAGCAATAAACTGAAACTTTCTTCACTTTCAAAGTGATTTGAAAGAGTTAATGAAAGCAAACATGTTGATGCAAAAATAGAAGGAACATTGTCAAATTTTACATTGATTCTACTTAGTCCAAAGTTGGGCAAACCAGAGGAATCGGTGACAAAAATGACAAAATTTTCCAACATTTGAATATCAGCCCTATGTAAGTACTGTTTAAGGTAATTTGCAACAGTTCTGTCATCTTCACTCATCTCGGATGGAAACTGTAGTACATCAACCAATT